TTAGGTATTCTGCGTCTGGATTCGATAAAAAATATATAACAAACTCTTCTTGGTTCTGTTTGAAGTATTTCTCCATCCTAGAAATTAATGATTTGACTTTATAATAATTGGCTAAATAATGAAGTGTAGAGGCACTATCACAATTGATTTTATCTTTGGGAATAGGTATTTTTTGACAATAATTTACAAAATATTGAATGTAGTCTTCAGATAAGGCAATAGGGCATTTATCTTCTTCAATGAGATTAATACATGGATTCGATGTTACTTCAGATTCTACAGTAGAAAAGAATTGTGAAAAAATTTTAAATAAACTGAAGTTAAATGGGTACTTTTTACCTTTGTATACAAAATAATTTGTAATTGGAAGAGGTGGATCAAAGTCATCATTATCATCTTCTACCTCCATTGACTGTAAATTTTTTATGAAATAAAGTGAGAGAAATAAAGGAGGGTCGATTCAAAAAATAATTAATTTCAAGGGAAAACGATAATAAAATTTTATTTTGAGAAAAAAATATTTGAAAAAAAAATTTTTTCTTAAAATTATATTTTCTGAAAAAATATTCAATTTTTTCTTAACTTGATCGTCGACCCCCATTTTATTGAATGAGATCCCTATTTTTTTGGGGCACTTTAACCCTAATCATACAAAAAGTGGAATTTCCATACAAATAATTTTGGATTAATTTTGAGGTTGGATCAAGATTAAGACATAAAATAAAACAATAAATATATATATAAAACAAAATTTTTAAAACAAAATAATATCATTAACTCTGAGTTTCATTATTATTATTATTATCGTTTTGGTTCTGATTTTCATTTTGATCACTGCCTTCATTTTGGCTCTGATTTTGGTTTTCATTTTCTTTTTCTTCTTCCAATTTCTTTCTTTTTTCTTCCTCTCTTTTTCTCTCCAATTCTTCTTCCTGATCAGTCATTGTCTGCGTTGCGTTATCATTGAAAGTCTGTTTATTTCCGGCCTTTGTCTTCTTCTTCTTTTTCTTCTTTGGCTTCTGCATCATCATGTCCATGAGATCGAGGAGACCTGATGGTGCCTCTTCCTCCTCGTCTTCCTCCTCGTACTGCATGTCTTCTGGATCGAAGGTGACGCCAGCGAGACCGATCGATTCAGTTGCCTTGTTGAAGGTCTCCAATGACTCTACTCTGATGTAGTTACTCTTGTCATTCAGTGCCCGATAGACGCTTGTCAAAACCTCCAGGGAACCCTTCACATCACCAAGCACATCAGGACATGCAGAGAACAACAGCTGTGCTATATTTGCATACAAGAGAAGTCTCGATTCAATGAACTTCGAGTCATCCCGTGATATGGAATCGTTCTTGTGAATTTCGGCCCATTTCTCTTGGATCTCTGAGAAGACTTTGTTGTTGATCTCTTCAACGACTCTTTTCTTGAGTCCATCGAGGGCGCTTCTCAAATATTTGAGAGCCTCCTCAATTGCAAACCTCAATTCGAGCACGAAATCAACAATCTCATCCGATACTTGGTCATCCACTTTTTCAGAGTCATCTTTCGGTTTCTCTGAAAAAGTGACCTTATGAAAAATATTTCTGGGCCACCTGATCAGCTGCTGCTCTGCGTCGAGGAGGCCACTGATGATTTGCTCAAGCTGGCTGACATTTCTTAGTTCTGAGAAGATGTTGCAGTATTCCACTTTTTTTTTCAAGTCCATCATGAATGACTTATTCGGCAGAATTTTTACATGGAAGAACTTGTAAGAATCTTCGACTTCTTCGATGCAATCTTGAAGGATATCTTGCCAAAGCTTGTACCTTTCAATGGTCAAAAGTGGATCGTCAAAGACGCAATTGAACTCGGGATCAACTTCGCAAATGATATCTGTTGAGAGCTGCTTATTTTGGAGAAGAAAGGCATGCTTGATATCGGCAACGGTTTCCGTTATCCAACTTTGAAAGACCTCGTGCGCAGGCTCAATAACAATGCCTTCATCAAGATCGAACATTCCGTATATCTTATTCAATCTTCTCTTCTTGTTATTTGAGTTATTTACAACTTTCTTCTCTTTCTTCTTTATCTCGGGATATAGCTTACGATCATATTTGACCTTTGGTGGTGGCGGTTTAGGTGATTTTTGTTTAGTAGGTTCTTTGTCTATTTCTTCTTCTTCAATGACAATGTTGACGTAATTTTTCGAAAAGCGGGTCAGAAATGAAAGCATACATCTGTTGCATTGCCTTAATAGGTTTCCGTTATACACGCTTCTTATACGAATGAAAAATTTTCCTAAATAATTTTGCCGATGAAATGCAAATTTCCTTTCTTTTTGAAGAAGCTTGTTCCGCTCTTTCTCACGTGTAAGTGACTGTGATCGCCACTTAAGATCGCTCGAATATCCCTCCAGTGAAGGTGGCAAGAGATTTAATGAGTGAAGTTCCTCAAAATCAAGCTGCATCTGCAGATTTGTTGCTCGGACTTGCCTGAAAAATTCGGACAGTTCTTTTTCAGTGGTAGTACAAATACTGATGATGATGTTTTCCATATCCATGATTGATTTGTTGGAGACAGTTTGAAATTCATCAAATTTAACATCATTAACACCATCATCAAATCCAGATGGAAAAATATTCAAGGTTTTTGTATTGGTAAGTATTCGATCTCGAATCTTATCAATTAGATCTGAAAAAAGTGGTCGAGAAATAATATCCAGTTTGTCAAAATTGGTCACAATTCGTCGAAATCGTTTTTCTCTGAATAAATCCCTCCATATAAAGAAATATTTGCTGTATTTACTATTCATGAATATCTGTTTGACAATAAACTCATTGGAGTTATCTAAAACAAATTGGGGAAGAGAGGTAACTTTAGCTGTGCTTCCTGAAACGTTTATAATACCGCTTGATGAAAGAATTTCAAAAGAATTTCCGATTAAATATTGTGGATAATCTGGGGGCATAATAGATATTTCCCTGCTTTTTGGTTTCATCATTTTACCTGTAAAAAAGTTTGGATTATCTCGAATATAGATTGCGGACATAATATGATCTTGATTTTCTTTAAGCGGTGGTAACTGTTTGCGAAATTTAAATCTATCAATTTTGGCTGAACCTGGTCGATCAACTGACATGGTACGTGCGGAGTGTGCTGTACGAGCAGTTCTGGGTAATGTTAATTGAAGTCCTGGATTAAGTTCGCTTATTGATAATGGGGCTTTTGGCCTTCTTTGAACAGATCTTGATGTATGAATTACGCGAAATGTTTGAGTATTACTTTGCGGCTTTTGAGATCTTGCAGAATGTATTCGACTAAATGTATTGGTATTTGGTCCTGATGGTTCTTTTGGTTTTTTAACACTAGAAACTTCGTTTCTATCTGTTTCAATTTGTTGTTCTTGAAAATCAGAATCGTAAGTAGGCATAAAACTGGAATTTAATTGAAGATCTGGAACATAGTGCATTGGAGAAAGTCCTTCAATGCATGGATCAAGCATTGGCGCAAATCTACCATTTCCATATGAAGCTAACTGAGGAATAAAATAACGTATGTCGTTTGTTATATTAACTTTTTGATGATCTTTAATAAGTCGATTGAAAAAAGCTGAAATGTTATCAGGAGTTTTATCTTCATAAGGAGGATCAAAAAAGCGATGGCAGAGAGTTGCAAGCTCGTTTTCTAAATCTCCACTCATCGCATAAAAATTTTATTTTCAATCCAAAAAAACGTATCTTTATTCATTCAAATCAATTAATTAACTTTTTAATAATAAAAATGCTGGATATAATTATTTTAAACCATATTATATTTTATTTATGTATAAACTTTATTTATTTTGTATAAATGATTTCATTAAAATTGTAATCTTCAAAAGATATAATAAATAATTTTGTTAACGTCTTTATCCCACAAAAAATAAAAGCATAAATAAATGATTAACAAAGAGTTGGAGAAGAACCAGCTACCAATATCTATATTTTTGTTCACAAAGAAACCAAAGTTTCAAATATTGCTAAATTATTCAAAAATAATATTAGTTAATACCCAAAAGAGAAGATAATTGAATTTTCCACCCATTTAAACATTATTTCAAAACTAAATCATTCATTAATCTTAAAATATAGTGGATACAGCCCAACAGATTTCGGCAATAAACCATGTCCAGTTATTCTAACTGAGTTAACCAAAAAAGAAATGTTATTTTCTTTGCTCAATTCAAAATCTATTGATTTTAATTTAATTGGATGGGATTTTAAAAAATATATCATTATTTATGGAGTTGCATCAGCAATGTCTTATTTACAATCGCATAATATTATTTATTGTAATTTAAACACATCCAACGTTTATCTTGATGAAAATTTCTTTCCCAAGTTGACTAATTTTAATTTTTCCAAAATAATAAAATTGAGTCATGTTTTGTCTTTATCAAACTTGCTAATTTGGGAGCTTTAATCAACTCTTTTAGGAATTTAGAAAAATCAGAAATGAAAGATATTTTTCATATTATTGTGAGTGTTTCAAATAATCATTATCGAACTCACAGTTTTTTTACTAAAATTGAAAAGATCCTTGCATATTTTCTGCCAGAAATCAGCAATCATTTTTCAAATTCAGAAATATTTAAAATTTTCAAGAGTAACATTCTTCCAAATTTTGAATTAAAACGTGAAATAACGAAATAATAAAACTTGATAAAACAATATTAAATATGCTAAATAATCGAAAATATCAGAAACATTCATATCATCTTTATTTTCAACCTGAAATACAAGAAGAAAATGCAGAAAGTGAAGTACATTTTGAATTAAAACGTGAAATAAGCGAAAATGATAAAGAAATAAATTTAAATTCATTGTATTATTATTATGAATATAAAAATTATGTTGGCGAATGTAGAATAAGTTATGATTCTCTTTTATCATATGCAATTCATGTATTAGAAAATGATGTTTTGACGAAAGTTGATATTATCAAGATTTACTATCATATTTATATTATTATAATATAAACAATAAGATGCGATGTGGAACAGCAGGTTACTTCGTGAGGCCCATAACCTCGAGATCGGTGGTTCGAATCCACCCATCGCTCATTTTTTATTTTTTTATTTGAAATATCATAAATTGTATATTGAAACCATAATAAAATGATATTATATTTGAAACCTCAGAATCTACTCTTTATTAATTATTAAAATAATCGTCCATATTTAAAAATTTTAATAATAAAAGTAATGGCATAGAAATAAACCAATTTATTATTTCTAAAAACAAAATTCATTCAATTGGAATAGTTGTTAATATACATTTAGATAAAATAATAAATACATATTATATATCTTTAGCATCTTATTTCAATGATTATATTTATATTTAATATGATAATTGTCAAATAAAAAGTAAACCATTTTCATATACCAACTTTTTGGGTTAAAATATGTCTTGAAAATGAGCATTTAATTTATATGATAATTAAGAATCTATAAATCATTAAAATAGAGAAAACAATCTGTTTTTTATGTTTTAAAAATGCCGAGACCAAACTTTTTACGATCATTGTATGAAACCAGAGGTATTCACTTTGAGGATTTTGACTGTATTTTTTAAAAAAAATATAAAAATTAAAACGCATTTATTTAATAAATGATACATTAAAAATTGCAAAATTATTTATGCGCTAGTTTTTGAGAAAATTCGATTTTATAAAAAAAATTATTTTTTTCAATGTTTATGAGCCATTCAAAACCGTAAAATATCGTAGAAAAAAATTGAAAGAAAAATGTTCCAAAATGCCACTTTAATTTTATTAAAAATTTTGAATATTTTTGTAATTATATGTACGTTAAAAAACGTTTATTTTTTATTTTGAGTCTAATAAATGAAACATATTTTCCAAAAAATTGGCCGCATAAAATCACTAATGCTTCTAGGAATAAATTCTCATGGCCAATATAATCATTATATTAAAGATGTAGAATCATATAAAGACAATTTTTGAAGTTATCATCTGTTTTTCTTTAAAAATGCTTTTTGGGTTTGAAAGTATGAAGAATGCAGATTTTGCAGTTTCTGAATTAGGAAATAATTAGAAATTTTCATTTATTGTGACAATACTTTGGAATAATGAAGATATCCAAAATATATTCGATGTTATTAATAAAATGATATAATTATATTGTTAACTAAAATATGATTTTTTCTTCAATTTAATATTCAAATCGTCATTTAAACATTTTATAGATTATTTTGATGATAAAAAGAAATAAAAATAATCTGTATTTAGCTCAAAAAATTAAAAATACATTTTAAAGAAGAAAAATGAAACCCATCAAAAAGCTTTTCAAAAAAAAAAAAAAAAATATTAAATTTGAATCAATGAATAACAAATTGAAATCAAAATAAGATTAAATTAATATTTGAATCAAAGAAAAACAACTAAAAAAACGTAACAATCAAACGATTTTACTGATTCATAAATTATTAATTGTTCAAAAACCTCCAATTTCAGTTTCATGTTTTTATGTGTTATCATTTAACTTAGCATATACATATGTATCTTTCCAAATTGCTTTTCCATTTTCATCCACCCAGAAATACACATTTTTTCTAAAATGAGCTTCACGTTTAAAATCAAGATTTTCAAGTAATTTCCATGACCGTTTATTATTTGGGTCACATTCCGCATATATTCTATGTACACCATTATTGAATGCTTGCTGAATCAAAGCTCTACAGCTTTCTGTAGCATAACCATGCCCCCAATATTTTCGGTTAAATACAAATCCTATTTCAATTGCTTCAAAATCACGTTTTCCCATATATACATTTCCGATCATTTTATTTGAGTTTTTCAATTCAACAGCAATCATTTCATCTGTACCAATACGCATATCGAGATCTTTTTTGGTTTCATCAAATGTTAAGGTGTGATATGGTTCATATTTCACAACTTCTTTATCAGATAAATATTCAAATAAATCATCTACATCTCCTTTTGTAAATCTTCTTAAAATTAATCTTTCCGTTTCAGATATAATTTTTTTGTACTCCATATCAGCAGAACTACCAATATATTGAGAACTCATTGAAATTTTGAATGAAATGTTGATGACATTTTCTGAAGAAATATCAATTTGATTTCATTAATTTAATCATTATTAAAAACATCATATAAAAGCACTGCCACAAAATATGCTTTAATATTAATTAAGCTTGTTAAAGATTTCATGTTTTCATATACAAAATGCTTTGAATATTTAGTAAAGATAGGAATTAATTCTTTATGATATATTTAAATTAAATTTGAAAATAAAATTATTTATTGGTTTATAAATTATTTTTATTTCTTCTATTCAAAGATATCATCTAATATATAAAAAGCAAACTTTTTAAAAAATGTCATAGAATTTTTTAAATAAACACGTTATTTTTGAAAAAACGTTCATAAAATTTTTATTTTTTTTAGTGTTTAAAAATGGAAATTGATCCTATCATTGAACACCTTGGTGACAACATATTTCCAGACATTCCACTTAGTAAAAGTGCAACAATAGAAAGAGAAAAAATGTTAAAATTTCCTTCATATTTTACCAAAGAGCAAATTACTGCATTTACACTTTCAATGAAATCATTATACATGCTATATAATCAAAGAATACAAGAAGCATGCGGGCTTTCACTAAAAGCACTTAAATATGATATAACATCTATTGATTCATACCAAACGTTGATTCAAACCGCTTCATTATTCATTGATACAGAAACCAAAATATGCCTATACATGCAACTAGCATCCTTATATAAATCACGCTATTTAAAAAAAGTGATAGAAATTTCATCACCAGCTACATTTCATAGGCGAATTAAGAGGCGAAAAATTCAAAGAGAAAACATAAACAATCAAGGGAACAATGAAAACAGGGACAAAAATTCAAATGATATAAAAAACTTTATTTTAACAAACAAAGAAAATGAAAACAACGACCAAATACTTATTCAATTAATTCTACAGCCGTACATTCGCCTTTTATTTAGCCTTGGTGAAACGTCCAGTCTTGGGGACAATCCGATTTTATCAATGCAATGTTATGAGGAAGTTTTGAGATTTGATTTTCACAACAAATTTGCCGCCAACAATCTCGTTGTTTCTTACATCAAAGTCATCGGGATGAGAAAGCGCGGTATTTGTCATCAACCGAAGCGTACGATGTGGCATTTGAAGATCTTGTTAGATTTGTATGATTCATTGCTCGATGAAGAAGTGAAGTTCTGTGGTAAATTAGTTCTTTCCTACTTTTTCAGAGCAGAAATAAATTTGAATAAAAATAACGATTTTTTTTCAATGGATTTGAATACTGACGTAAATGGTGATATTTACGACGATAGAGTCTGTTGGGAAGGTTTGGATGAATGGTCTGAAATTGCTAAAGAATTTAATAAAAATTATCCAAAAGCGGTTTCTTTCATTTTCATGGAAAAGTCAGGAAAAAGTGACTTCCCTTTAATCCCTGCTTTTCAAGAATGGCTCGACCTTGTTGTCGACATGCATGAAATTTTGAGAGGCAAAAGTGAGTCGTTTTATAAATACATACATGAGAAAAACAAGGCAAATGAAGCCTTCAGAAGTAGAACAGGCAAAAGAGTAATGGCCAAGGCAGGAAATGAACATCTTGAGAAAGCTCGTGTGAGTCTTCGTGAACGAAATTACATCGATACTGTGAATGAGTGCACATTGGCAAAACGAATGTTTTCTGAGGCCAATTATCCATCCAATAAGTGGTACCTGAATTCGCCTTTTCCAATTGTGTCTAATCGAGCGGTTGCTTGCTTCCACTTGGAGTTGTGGATGGTCGTTCTTCATGACATTCGTTTCACATTGATGATGAATCCAAGGCATCAGAAATCTTACGTGCTAATGAAAAAAGTTGCTTTGATTTATGGATGTGATTTGTTAGCTCAGAAAATGGACAATGTAATTCAAAAAGTGGTGTGTAATGAATTGAATGAAAAAGAATGGAATTGTATATCTAAAAGAGCAATCGCACTGCTCTCTTTGGAGGCTTTTGCTTTGTCTAAAGATGGTGAACTTAATGAGCAAAATATCGAACATTTGATGAAAGTTGGAATTGAAGATTGTTTTCGTGAATTGCCTTGTAGTACAAATTTGGTTCCTCAACTTCCTTGGATCAATGAATGAGAATTTATAAATTATGTTTATTAAAAATAAATAAACTTTTATATTATATGAAATATATAGACTTGTGATAAAGTGGTGTTTGTGTAGAATATGCAGAATTATTTCAAGAATTAACAAAAAAATATTGTATCCTATCAAATTCTAGTTGATATAAGACTACTGCAAAATGCATCAAAATTAGCAGGATTGGATTCTCGCTGTCCAACAAATGTTCCGGTTTATACAAATGCAGCAAATTACAAATTGTAATGTTTAAAGAGTAAAAAATTTCCTTGATGCATATTTAGCGATTTCTTGAAGTTTTTGCTGAGATATTGATGAAATTCCAAAAAAAAAAAAAAAAAAAAAAAGATTGGTAAATAAGATTTTGAGATAAAATTTTATAAAATTTTAAAAATGAGAAGAAATATTTTATGTCATAATAATTGAGGGAAAAAATTGTGGTCTGCCCTTTTAATTTAAGTTTAATAAGTGAAAAATCTCAAAAGTTAAAAATGGTGATGACTTAAATTAATTCATTTCAGTTTGGCACTTTTCATATTTGACCTTAATTTGTTGTTCTTTTTTTAATTTGTCTTTGAATTTTGAGTTTTTTCAATTTTATCTGAAGTTTGCTGATTGACATGTCGTCACTACTTTCTGTTTTAAGTGATTCAAGATAAGTTTCAACTTCTTCTTCATCGACGGTTTCATAGAAATATGAAAAATCGGTTGACAACTTTTTGAATATGTCATCAAATGAAGGTCGATCATCTGGATTATCTAATCAGCATTGAGAAGATCCTTCATTTTTTCAGTGACACAATCATTGAACTATGGAAGATATCCGTTTGTGATTTTATGAGCAAAAGAGAAAGGTGAAATACTTTCACCTAGCTGAAAATGGTTCTTCATTTGT